TTCTACATCTCCTTGGCTCAGTTTTGGTAGTTTGTTTGTGTCCAGAAATTTATCCATTTCCTCCAGATTTTTAAATTTTTTGGCATATAGTTGTTTATAGTAGTCTCAAATGATTCCTTGTATTTCAGATGTATCAGTTGTAATATCACCTTTTTCATTTCTAATTTTTGTTATTTGGATCTTCTCTCTTCTTTTTTTAGTTAGCTGTGCTAAAGGTTTGTCAATTTTATTAATCTTGATTAATAAAGCGACCAACTTCTTGATTCATTGATCTTTTGTATCGTTGTTTGGATTTGAATTTCATTAAGTTCTGGTCTGATCTTAATGATTTCTTTCTGTCTGCTAACTTTGGGTTTGGATTGTTCTTGTTTTTCTAGTTCTTTAAGGTGCAGTGTTTGGTTGTTCACTTGCCATCTTTCAATTCCTCTGAAGTAAGTATTTAATGTGATAAATTTCCCACTTAGTACTGCTTTTGCAGTATCTCACAGGTTTTGGTATGATGTATCATTGTTTTCATTAGTTTCAATAAATATTTGATTTCCTGTTTGGTTTCTTCTTGGACCCATATGTCATTAAGTAGAATGCTGTTTAATTTCCATGTGTTCGTATAGTTTCCAGAATTTCATTTGTTATTGATTCCTAATTTTAATCCATTGTGGTCTGAAAAAATGTATGGGATAATTTCAATTTTTTTTGAATTTGTTGAGACTTGATTTGTGACCTAACATGTGATCTATCCTGGAGAATGATCCATGTGCTAATGAGAAGAATGAATATTCTGAGCTTGTTGGATGGAACGTTCTGTAGATATCTGCCAAGTCCAATTTTTCTAGTATGTTGTTTAGATCTTATGTTTCTCTGCTGATTCTTTGCCTAGATTATCTGTCCAATATTGATAGTGGGGTGTTCAGTTCCCCTGCTGTTATTGTATTAGTGTCTATTTCCTTCTTTAGATATAATAGAGTTTGCTTTATAAATCTGGCTATTCCAAAATTGGGTGTGCATATATTTATGATTGTTATGTGCATATATATTTATGATTGTTATGTATTCTTGATGGATCAATCCTTTTATCATTATGTAGTGGCCCTCATTATCTCTTTTTATGGTTTTTAGTTTAAAGTCTATTTTATCAGATATAAGAATAGCTACTCCAGTTCATTTTTCATTTCTGTTTGCATTGTAAGTCTTTTTCCACCCTTTCACTCTTAGTCTATGTGAGTCTTTGTGGATGAGGTGGGTCTCTTGAAGGCAGCATATAGTTGAGTCCTCCTTTTTAATCCAGTCAGCCAGTCTGTGTCTTTTGATTGGGGAATTTAAGCCTTTTATGTTAAGAGTTGTTATTGAAAAGCGTTGATTTATTCCTAGCATTTTATTGATTTTTGTTTGGATGTCTTAGGTGTCTTTTGTTCCATTCTTTCTGATTTACTGTTTCTGTTGTGTATTTGTTGATTCCTTGGGTTGTAGATAGGCTTTTTTTGTTTGTTCGTTTTCTCTTCATGGATGCCATTTTTATTATACTAGTGGGTTTTGATTTCTCTTGGGTTTTTATGGCAGTGGTAGTTGTTTTTCAGGTACCAAACCCAGTACTCCCTTGAGAATTTCTCGTAACGGTGGTCGTGTGGTAGTGAACTCCTGCAGTTTTTGTTTGTCTGAGAAATATACTATTTGCCCTTCATTTTGGAAGGATAGCCTTGTGGGGTAGAGTATTCTTAGCCGACATTCTCTGTCTTTTAGTATTTTAAATATATCATCCCATTCCTTTCTGGCTTTTAGGGTTTGTGATGAAAAGTCTGATGTTAGTTTAATTGGGGCTCCCTTATAGGTAACTTGATGCTTCTCTCTTGAAGCTTTTAAGATTCTCTCTTTGTCATCGAGTTTTGCCAATTTGACTAAAACATGTCTTGGAGAAGACCTTTTTACGTTGAATATGTTTGGGGATCTTTGAGCTTACTGAATCTGAAGATCTGTGTCTTTTCCTATACCTGGGAAGTGTTCTGCCACTATTTTGTTGAATATGTTTTCAATACAATCTCCTTTTTCCTCTCTTTCTGGAATACCCATGATTCAGATATTTGAACGCTTAAGGTCATCTGATAGCTCTCTTAGATTTTCTTCAATGTTTTTAATTCTTTTCTCTCTCTCTTTTTTTTTTTTTGTCTGCCTGTGTTATTTCAAACAGCCCATCTTTAAGGTCAGAAGTTCTCTCTTCTGCTTCTGCAAGCCTGCTGGTTAAACTCTCTGTTGTATTTTTTATTTCATTGAATGAATTCTTCAGCTCAACAAGCTCTGCCACATTCTTTTTCAGGGCATTGATTTCCTTGTACATTTCTTCTTTCAGGTCCTATATACTTTTCCTCATTTCATTGTGTTGTCTAGCTGAATTTTCCTATATCTCATTTAGTTTCCTTAGAATTATCACTTGAAATTCCTTGTCAAACATTTCAAGGCTTCTTGTCTGGATCTATATGATCTAGAGCTTGAGAGTTATTACCCTTTGGTGGTGTACTTTCTTGATTTTTTGTATTTCTGGTATCTTTCCTTTGATGTTTAGTCATTATGGCAGGGGATTTCATGGTCCACTGGTTTGATACTATTGTCTGGCTAAGATGCTGCTGGGGCTTCCAATTTGGCACGGCTGCCTCAGTGGCTGCTCAGTTGCCCACTGGTGCCTTGGGTGCATGGACACCTTGGGTCCTGGGCCTCTCCGGGGAGGCACCTCTCCTGTCAGCATGAACTCGGCCAGGCTGGGGATGGAGTCCGGTGGTGGCAGCAAGGCCTACCTGCTGGGTCATGCACTGGCACCGCAGGGCATGTGGTCTCTGCGTATCTTGGGCCTCTCTGGCCCCACCTTTCTTATACTACTTGAAATTCCATCTTTATCATGCTTGAAATGTATAATTGGATTTACTTCTTTCTGCTCAGTTTTATGATGGTTTCACACTCTTTTAATAATATTACCATTCTGATGTACTTACTTCAATATTTTCCCTAGATACATTTTTATACAATTAAACTCATGCTTACAAATATTTTTAATATTAATTGAAATTTGATTTTTTCATAAACATTTTAACTTACTGTTAAAATTTTAAGCATAATACAAAGTAAATTTCTTACTAAACTTTTAAATCAATACACATTTATTATAAGAATTAAAATAATTGAGGTGCTTAAAAATATACATTGGAACAGGCTAGAAGGTTCAGAAGCAAATATATAAATTTATTATATGATAATTTTGTTAGAAATCAGAGGGGGAAAAGAGCATATTATTCAACAAACTAGTTTGAAATAATTGGTTCTGCAATTAGAAAAAAAGGAAGTTTGATTTCTACTTAATTCCATATACAAAAATAAATTCCAAGTAGATTAGAAATTAAAATATAAAAAAGGAAACCATAAAGATACTAGGGAAACATAGGAGAATGTTATTTTTAGAAGGAGGGAGGTAATTATGATGACACAAAACCCAAAAACTATAAAGGAAGATGAACAGAATTGATTATTGAAAATATGAACATAATTTTCAATGGCTTCATTACATTTCATTAAATTGATGGGCCATAATTTACTATCACCCACATATTGTTGGATATCTGTATAGTTTTCAATATATTGTTATTATAAATAATACTTCAATGAACATGTATATGTTTTAAGCAATGATTGTTTTTGAATGATCTTTACGTAGTAAAATTTGTAGTGTCACATTTTTGTTTGAAATAAATGGGTCACTGGCTTAGATCTGAAAAACTTATTGTTATAAAAGCCCTTTTAAAAATAGCCTGTTTTAAAGAACTAGAGATTTAGAGATTTGTGTGATTTTTTTTTACCACCTAATGCTCATAGTGTGAAGGTTTTATTGGCAATGTCTGGGATTTTTTGGGTTACTAAGGTTAGAATAAGATTTAACACCATGGATCAGAATTCAGTACAGTTGTCTCTAATAGGCAACGAGGACCTTTGTAGGAGTCAACTTATTTCCCATAACTCAACCTGATATTAAGATTAAGAATTTGCCTCCTTCCCCTGAATTTTCTGGGTCTTTTTGAGTGTAATAATTCCACTCCATGAGTTTTGTTAACCTCTTCCTGAATCTACTTTATAAATCCGTATATCTCTCTGAATAATATGCTTCACAGTTGCATAGAAAGCATAACTGTAGTGTCTGAGCCATGGTTTTCATTGTTGTTGTGAGGTGAAAGTTGTTGCTTTGTTTTTTTTGACCATGTAAAACCAGCTTTTATAGAAACTGAATTGGTTCTGAAGAACCAGGAGGTCTAGAAAAAACCCTAAGTATCCAGAGAAAAGAAATGGACCAGTGAGAAAGGAGAGAAGGTTTTATAAAAATGTGAGACTTATTGGTTTACTTAGTTCGTTTTTTAGAAAAAAAAAAAAAAAAGAAAAATAGAAAATTTGCTTTCAGAAATGGAAACTTCTGTTATGATTAACATTAGAAAAGAATTTGATGGAATATTCTTCCTCGTTTGTTTCAGCTACTCAGGGGCATTGTCCACAGCAGCCAGTGGCTTTGCAAAGCCTACCAAGCACTGAAGACTTTCTGGGTGTACCCCTCACCTTGGAAAGTGGAATGATTTAGCCATAGGCACTGTGATGAAAATAATTCCAACAACTGTGCTGTCTAGCTTTAAACAGCTACTCACAACTCAGTCTTCTAATAGCCCATTTCATAGGGCATTTTCAAAATATGGCTTCTGATAAAATCACTGGTCCAATCCATCCATTATAATTGTATTTTTACTAAGCAGACTCTCCATGCATTCTAATAAAATACTGCCTAACAATGACATCGTGTCTTTAGTCATATAGCATGACACTTCCCAACTGCTTATAGCAGTCTGTAGGAAAAGGGACAGGGAAGGCCTCCTTTACAAATTGCAGTCTTCTTAAAAAGTCTAGTAGGATTAACATAAAAGTGATTTCTACATTCCAGCTTAGACAGCAAAATCACACAAAGCAAATGTGGCCATACTCACTCATTGGGGGTGCCCTTCTGGCCACAAAAGTGGCCATGGCTGTCTGTAGGATAGGCCACTCTCCTGGGGTCGCCATGTACCCAGGCTGCAGGAACAAGAAAGGACAAAAACTCCATCAGCAACAGCTGGCTAAAGGCAGTCTGATTTGAGACATTAGAATGCACTACAACACACTCAACACACTAACCTCTCCCCTCAGCCACAGAAGATTATTGATTTTCTTCAAAGAGTAATTTCTTAATGAAAAGTAAAATAAAATATGGATGAATCTGTCAGAAAGCACATTTCTCTTATTCTCTCAGGATTCAGCTGGGCTGTAGCCAAAACATGAGGTAATGCACTTAGAAAATGACATTTATTAAAATGTGAATTAGAGGACACACTATAAAAGCTTGGTTGGCTAGAGGTCACTTTTTCTAGGGTTCAAAATAAAATGACTTCATAACAGAGCTAATAAATTTACAGTAAATAATATGATGTAATACTTTTGGGTTATACAGAAGTGAAAACTTAAAAATTCAAAGGAATGAAACTACAATGCCCAATTCAAATTGACTAAGTCTTTACAATTTTATATAACATAGTAAAGGTGAACAGCAGCAACACACAGACAATACATAACGAAGATTTACCGCACATGTTGTCGACAATTTCAGAACTTAATATAACTATCGAATGTTCTCAAACTTCATGAAAACAGACGACTTGACATTATTTTAAATGAAGATGTTGGACTGTACCTCATACGAGCTTATCACCCTTATTTTTGAAGAATTATAGACAGACCTGACAGCTAGACCATAGGACTACAGCAAGTAACATGCATCAACTAAGTTTGATAATACTCCCTAATTCTAGCTGAATTTTTCTAACTTCTCCAGTTTGATTAATATAATTGTTCCTAAAAATCTTAGGAAGTGCATTTGTCATTTAATGCTTGCCTCTGCATATGGAAAACATATCTCTTTGTCCTTCGCTTCCTTTAAAATTTGCCCAGCTATCTCCTTACCCACATTTATTGGATTTGACATGTCACGTTATAATTCAATCACCTTATGTATATGGCCTGTGGGACTTGGGAAGATAAAAAAAAAATCAATTCTGATTGAGAATTTTAATATGTAAGAGAAATTTTTCTCAATATTTTTCTCATCAATCTAAGCCTTTCCTTTCAGTTTCTAAGCACTCAGAGACGTTCCCTTTGTCTAATTTTTTCTCCAAAGTCATAGAGGCCAAATCAGTCTCATCTTCTAATACCTTCTTATGAAATCTGACTCATTCGGGTAGCTCTCTGCTGCCCTATCTTCCCATCTTTACTTCCCAGAATAAACAAAGTGGACTACAAATAAGGCATTTAAATGACACCCAAGTGTTCAGTGTACAATGTCTTCAGACACTATTTTATTTTATTTTGTTTCTATTATCTCAGTTTGCCACATTTTGGCTAAACCTAAGAAATAGATCTAATTTTACCTGACCCTATTTTCTGTAATATGTTTCTTTTAGCTTTAGTCTAAAATGTTTTATTCTTTTTTCATACAATTGTTAAATTCAGAAATGGCCACCTAAAGAAGCATTTGGTTTGCTAGGTTTGCTGCTTAATATTATCTATTAGTCTGAACAAGCCACTTAATTATTTTGAGTCTTGGCTTTCCAATTTGTTACTACAAATTGAGTATAATAATACTCTACCTCATAAGAATGTTGAAAATATGAAAGAAGGAAATGAAAGTTGAATGCATAACATGGTGTTTGGCATACAATATGGACGCAGTAATGTTAGTTCTTGTCTTATTCGGGTTTCCCCAAAAGCAAAGTCTGATACAAGGACTTTGATGCAGGTAGTTTATTTGGGAGGTGATTCCAGGAAGCTTAAGTGGGTGTGAGGAAAGTGAGATAGGGAAGGGAACAAAGCCAGTAAAGGTCATATTAACGAGTGATATTCTGTCGTGGGCAGCTGGGCTGTACCCCACTGGGAACTTCTACAGAACCATGTAGAACATGCCTGGCAGTGGGCATGGCAGAACTGTGCACCATAACTGTAAACAAATTCAGACGGGCTGAGAGGAAGTGGGGCTGGGTATCAGCAGCATCTGCTATAGTTTTTTTCCCCCTTTTTCATCATCAATCAGTTAAAGAATTTACTTAATGTGTCCTATATTAGAAGTCAACATAATACATACACTTATGTCAGAGTTCTCAAGAAATACATGAAAAGGAAAGAACGAAGTTTGTAGATGGCTTAAAGAAGAGGTGAGGCTTGAGAAAGACTTTGAAAAGATTAGGATTTGATTATGTAGCTGGAAGTCAGCAAGGAATTACAGATCGAGGAAGCAGTATAATAATAAGAGCTTCTATTTGTTAATTGCTTACAATGTGCCAGGTGCTGTGCCAAAATTATTACACCTATTGCCTCAGTTGAGTCTCACAACAACCCTATGAGGTAGGTATTATTTTCACCTAAATTTTATATAGGTAACTGCAGCTCAGAGTTTAATTTACTTCTCAAGATCACACAGCTTTCAGTGGTATAAACAGGATTTAAACCTACATGCATTGCTCTCTAAGGCCCATGTTTTAACTACCAGACTATAGTGGCTGCAATGCTGCTTGCTAAATGATAGATTAGGATGAACTTGTTAGCAGTGGGAGACAACAAGGATATCAGCTAAATAAGAATCAGCAGTATGTTGGACACCTAATGTAGGAAGGAGATGACATAGGTAATTTTGGAGACTGTCATTTGGGAAGAAGAGCTTCATACTTGGGTGAGGGAAGAGTGTCTGGCTGGGAGGGATCTGAGGGTCTGGGGACAAAGGAGAGGGAGATGAAGATGGAAGTATCAAGGGAAGAGTTCTCCTTCTCAACTTTCTAGTTCTGAACTGTAGCAGGTGACTGTGTTTTCTGAGCTGCTGCTACACCTCTCCACGCAGGCTCTGGCATGGAAGATGTGCTGCAGATGGTCTGTATTACAGCTGGGATGGCAAGACTTTGAGCTGAAAGCTGCAAACAAGAGGAAGAAAATGAGATGTGCAGCTGCAGTCATTTTGTCTCTGTTAATAAAGAGACCTCTCACAATTTACTCCCTTTCTTGGAACTTTTCTATTCATAAAACTTTTAGAACTGTGTTGTCTGATATGGTAGCCACTAGTCGTGTGTCTAGTGAGCACTTAAAATGGCTCATCCAAATTAATACATGCTATAAGTGCAAAATACATGGCATATTTTAAAGATAGCGTGAACAACAAAAAGAAAGAATGATTTTTATATTGACCACATCTGAAATGATATTTAGTTCTATTTAAATAAACAAAATATTCTATTAAATGATTGTTAAAAGTAATTTCACCTGTTTCTTTTTGTGCCCTTAATTAGGTTACTAGAAAGCTTGACATTACAAAGTCTGGTCAGTTAGTTCAGTTGGGCAAAATGTAGCCTTATACCACCAAGGTCACAGGTTCAGATCCCTATACCGGCCAGCCACCAAAAAAAGAAAGTTTAACATTATGCATCTGACCCACATTATGATTCTCCTGGACGGATCTGTTCTGGAATACTTCCCTGTGAATGCCAAGGGCTTCGTATATAAGGTGATTAACAATGCCATGACATCACCAGTCTGTATAGCAGTTGTTCTCGACATACCTAACACATCCTTTTCATAACAGATATTTTACAATGCCCCCTTCTAATCTTAAAATAATAGTCACAGATAACATAATTCACCTGCAACATAATTTCTCTTAAAAAGTCTATAAAATGTCATAACAGTAATGTAAATGAAAAAATAAGTAATATATAATTAAACAGTATGAACATCAATATGAAATACTCAAGTGTGACTAAAGTAGGAACATAGGGAAGTAGGTGCTTGCACCTATAGATTGAGTCACTATCTATCTGTTGAATGTAACAGCTGTACAGTGGTGTTGTCAATGAACTATTTTCCTAAATGAGAAATTTTAGTAAATTCTAACAAAAAAATACAATCTTCCTTCAAATTATCTTGTTATTTATTAAAACCATGCAAAAATAACATTTGTAATTTTAAAACAGAAGTTCTAGATTCAAATATTTTAAAACAAGTTTTTACCTACATCAGTGGGACATAGGAAAGTCAGACAGGAAGTGGGGTCAATCTTGGTTATGCTATACTGTCCCGAATACTGTAAGACTTCTATGTTCCCAGTCCCCCACCCACTAAACACCAGTAGTACCCCTCCCCAAACATTGTGACAATCAAAAAGTCAACTCAAATTTTCTGAAAGACCCTCTATGCAGTGGTACTGCTCCAGTCGAGAGCCACTGATTTAGATGTTTGCTCACACTCTTAAAAATGTCAAAAAAAAAAAAAAAAATTGATTCCACATTGTCTTTTTTCTCCCAGATGTTTTTAGGGTATGCTATCATGGAGTTCTTTCTTATAATTTAATCCTATTTACTTTTATTCAGCTGATCACCATCTGTGATGGCTTTTAAATACATGTCCAGCCAAGGAGCAGGCCAAAAACATCTTCTCCATGTGGGTGGTCCACCACAGCCACCACGATAACCATGGCTGCCATGAAGGCAGCTAGATGCCACAACCACCACGCAGATCACCTGCCAGCCACTGGAGTGCATTGACACAAGGAGAGTCACCAGCAAAGATAAAGAAAGGAGGAGGATGTCTCTCTCCGCAGAACCCATTTCAGAGTAATAGAAGAGGCATCTGCTCTATGATAGTATTGGGGGACCTGATCACACCTCTCAGCATTGGACAGATCAGTTGGGCAGCAAATCAAGAGAGTAACCATTATTCTTTCAGAGGGTGAGAAGGAAATCTAGGGTGATTAGAGGGAGGCAGGTGGAGGGAAAGGGGGATGGAAAGGGATTGGACCAGGGGCATAAATAATAATTATGATTTGTAACAATATATATGCTAGTAATATTGATTTTATCAACATATCTCAATGTTGAACCCCCAAAATTTGTATAATCAATTTTGATTCAATAAAAATTAAAAAATAAATAAATAAAAAATAAATTAATTAATCAAAAAAAAAAAAGAACAGATGAGAGAGTCAAGGAACAGAACCAGTATAT